TTAGCCACTATGCTACCAGAGCTCCCATAATATAGAATAGGCTCCCTAATTAGAAAAGCAGATTATCTCATGCATCCAAATATTAAAACCTTTTCATTACTAAATAACTTTTTCTTTGTAAAGTTTTATAGACATAATGTGTTTTCACTAGTGGAATGTTGATTCAATGAGTGTTTTTAAATTTTTGTTAGGTATCATGCTGTTGTTGTTAGGTAATGTCAAACCAGTTGGGACTCCTAAAACCCTATGTACAACTCTGCCCGACCCTGAGCCATCTTCATAATTGTTGCTATGTTTGAGCTCACTGTTGAAGCCACAATGTCAATTCATTTCATTGAGGGTCTTCCTCTTTTTTGCAAACCCACTACCCTTCACCAAGCATAATGTCCTTCTCCAGGGTGGATCTCTCAGTTTCATGACAAAACGACGTGAGATAAAGTCTCCCATCCTTGCATACAAGGAGCATTCTGGCTGTACTTCTGACACAGATTGTTTGTTCTGGCAGTCACAGTATAGTCGATATTCTTCACCAACAGCTTAAATCAAATACATCAATTCTTCTTCAGTCTTCTTTGTTCATTGCCCAGCTTTCACATACACAAGAGGGTACTGAAAATACCAAAGGGTAGACTGCACCTTAGTTCCCAAAGTGATATCTTTGCTTTTTAACGCTTTAAAGAGGTTTTTGGCAGCAGATATGTCCAATGTAATATGTTGTTTGATTTTCTAGACGGATGTTTCCATGGGCATTGATTGTGGATCCAAGTAAAATGAAATCCGTGACAAATGTAATCTTTTTGTCCTTTTATCATCTTGTTGCTTATTATTCCACTTGTGAGGATTTTTGTTTCCTTTATGCTCAGGTGTAATCCCTAAAGAAAGTTATAGTTTTTGATCTTCATCAGTAATGCTTCAAGCCCTCTTGGGTTTCAGCAAGCAAGGCTGTATCACCTAAATACCGCAGGTGGTTAATGAGTCTTCCTCCAATCCTGATGCCACATTTTCTTCATATAGTCCAGCTTCTCAGGTTATATGCTCAGCACACAGATTGATTTAAGTGTGGTAAAAGGACACCATAATGACGCACACCTTTTCTGATTCTAAACCATGCACTATCTGTTCTATTTGAAAGACTGCCTCTTGGTCTATGTATAGGTTCTACATGAGCACAATTAAGTGTTTTGGAATTCCCATTCTTTGCTATGTTATCAGTATTTTATTATGATCAATATAGCTGAATGCCTTTGCATCATCTATGAAACACAGGTAAACATCCTTCTGCTATTCTCTGCTTTCAGTTAAGATCCATATGACATGAGCAGTGATATCCTCATTCCATGTCTCTTTCTGAATCTGGCCTGAATTTCTGGCAGTTCCCAGCTGATGGGCTGCTGCAACCGTTTTTGAATTATCTTCAGCAAAATTTTACTTCTGTGTGATATTAATGATATCAGTAACTTCCACATTCTGTTGGATTGCCTTTCTTTGAAATGGGCACAAATACGACAAGTCCATCAGTTTGCTGTATTGTGGTGGCTTCTGTGTTGCTGTGATGCTGAAGCTATGCTACAGATATTTCAAATACCAGCAGGGTCACCTATGGTGGACAGGATTTGGTAGAGCTTCCAGACTAAGACAATTAGGAAGTATGACCTGGAGATCTACTTCTAAGAAAACTGGCCAGTGAAAGGTTTATGAATAACAACAGAACATGGTCTAAAATAGTGCTAGAAGATACTCCCTATAAGTTAGAAGGCATTCAAAAGACAACTGGGGAAGAACTGCCTCCTCAAAGTACAGCTGACCTTAATGACATGGATGGAGTAGAGCTTTCAAGACCTTCATCTGCTGATATGGCATGACTTAAAATGAGAAGAACTGCAAGCATTAATAACTGGAATGTGGAATGCACGAAGTATGAATCTAAGAAAACAGTAGTCAAAAATTAAATGGATGTAGTAAAAACTGAAATGGAATGCTTTAATACTGACATCTGAGGCATTAGTGAGCTGAAATGGACTGGCACTGGCTATTTTGAATTAGACAATCATGGTTTACTATGCCAGGGATGACAAATTGTAGAGAAATAGTGTTGCACTCATTGTAAATAAGAGTATTTCAAGATTTATCCTTAAGTACAATGCTGTCAATAATAGTATAATATACATACACTTACAAGGAAGTTAGGTACGATTGTTGTTAGCTGCTGTTGAGCCAGCTCCAACTCAGAGTGACCCCATGTATAACAGAAAGAAATACTGCCCAGTTGTGCATCATCCATACAATCCTTGCTATACTTGAGCCCACTGTTGCAGCAACTGTGTCAATCCATCTTGTTGAGGGTCTTTCCCTTATTATGTGGGACACATATGACCCGATGGACTCTGGTGGTGGGATAAGAGGGATGAGGCATGGGGGAAAAATCATTGTATCTTAGCGTTTTTATTTTATTGAGTAAAACTTTTTAAAAACATGAGGTAAAACATAAAGGCACCCTTCAATGGCTGTACATAATTTTTCAAGTCTGCTTCTTCATAGTGCTGCATTCTCTGCTTTTTGATTCCTCTGACAGGTAAATGATTTTCAACCTGTCATAGCCAGACACCATTTGGCATGCTGCTGACTCCTGGTTTATTCTTGACAAGAAAGCAGGGTCTTCCTCTTCTTCTGATTTCCCATCCTACATAACTAACTAATAAGAGCGATACTGAAGGGCAGTTGGTCACATCTGCCCCCAATGTTACAGTTCCACATTGTAAAACTGTTTATAATGCCAAAGTCAATATGGAAATACAGCAATCACTGATACCATAAGACACAGTGCCTTCCAACTGTGTACTTTTTACCCTCTGGTCAATACGGTCCGCTCCTCCCATAACTGCATTGTATTCTGCAACTGCTCTTGGGCAAGGCATTACTGAAGAGCAATTGCAAAAAATGTAAGTGGTACTTATATGTATCTGTAGTCACGAAGTAAGCCAAGGATGCATGCTTAAACTGTACTGCACCTGAAAATAACTTATTCACTTGAATATTACCTAATCCCAAATACCACACTGTCCCAGTAACACACAGGAAACAGTAAATATACTTAGTGGCCTTATCTCACTATACAAAAGGTCAGAGACAAAAGTTTTACACAATCATTCCTCCAGGATGCACCATTTTGTATAATAACCT